GCTCGCGCGTCCCTGGAAGGGCAGTTCCCCTACTCTGTTCCTCCTCGGCTTGCCCTCCCGTGGACAGCCCGGCCACCTGCCCTGCTGCAAGGGGAGTTTCGGACTTCTGAAGCCACCTCCGATCCTCCTGCATTCCTCGAGCCTACACGTGCCTGGAATGGGAGGGAGCTGGTCGAGGAAGGCCTGGGGCGGGGGCCTTGCCTTTGAGGTCTTAGTTCCCGTGGTCTGATTCCTCTTTCCACACGCTCGTTTGAGATGAGGATAACTTGGGCCTCGGGTGGGTTGGAAACCATCTGAAGCAACAGTGAGCCTGTGCTGGGCCAAGGACTAAGACATAGGACCTCCAGGCATTGCTTCCCCACTGATCCATGGTGCTGCCGCGGGACAGTCCCCTCTGCACTCTGGGCTCCAGTTTCCCCTCTGTCCAGTGAGTGGAGGGGACTTCTTGTTCTCCAGAGATCCTGCCAACGCTGACCTTCCTTCCAGAGCTCTGTGCCTTTGCTGCACTCCCCAGGGACACCCCTGTTTGCCGTGTTTTACCAGCTGACTCCTAGGAGAGCCTGCAAATTCTTTCTGAAATCCTCTTTGTAATTCGAACTTCTCCCCACTTGCTAAGGACGGGGCAGCTGCAAATAGATGCTTTCCAGAGGCCCTAAGGGCTCCAGCAGCTAGACAGTACAGTCTCTTGGTGAGGGCAGCCGTTCCTCCCTGACCTCTCTGTGTGGGCTTGGGCACCAGCACAGCAGTGAGTGGCTGCCAGCTGACCTGGGCCTTGTCCTGAGACTGGTTTGGGTATGCACGCCCTTTCTAGAGAAGCCCCAGCTCTCAGGTTCCACGGGTCAGGGCCCCCTGGGAAAACATGCAGCCACCATTGGTACTTGAGCCAACAGAAATGTGCCAAAGAGAAAGAAGCCTTGCTAAGCTGTGGCATGTAGGAGCCCTTCAGAGGGAGCACATACCACCCTGACTTCGCTTCCTGTGGAGCTGTCTGCCGAGCAGCATGAGCAGGAGGCCTGTGCGTACCTCATCCTGCCTCACACCAGGCTTTTAAAAAAAATTTGGGATTTGCAATTGGCATAACGATTATGTTGCTGGACTTTCACATGGTTGACTGTGGTTTGAGTCCTGGACCCCGTGGCTTCCAATTCATGCCAGACGTGTGTGCATGCGTGTGTGCCCAAAATCCTCAGAGGAGACTGGAGGAAAAGGGATTGCAGTGTGGCCATCCCCCCAGAGGGTCATTTCTTGCTGTCTCTCTGGCAAGTGCATGTGCCCCATAGCAAAAATCTCTCTAAATTTTTTTTTTTTGTCATAGGACGCAGATGCTTGTCCAAGAGACAGAGAGAAAGTGAGAAATTCCCCCCCGGGGGATGGCCACACTGTAGTCCCTTCTCCATTCCCCTTTCGGGATCCTGAGCATGCATGCAAATGGTCCTGGTGTGTTTTTCAAGCTGCTGGGTCCAGGACTCAAACTGTGGAGTTAACCATGTGGGTTCTAGCGCCTTAACCATCACACCACCTGCTGGCCTCACACCAGAGTTCTTTTATCACTAGTTTCACAGGCAAGCTGAGGGGAGGCAGACCTTTGCAGCCCCCTGTATCCACACAGGGCAAGGTCAGGGAAATCTGTATCTGGAGAGCTTCACAGAGCTTTGACCAAAGCCAGGACAGACATCTGGCGGAGGGATCTGGTGCCGGAAAGGTCCAGCTCCGGTGATGTTGCCATCTGTGGGTGGGGGTTCACGGGTACACAGACTTCGAGCCAGGCCTAGTGCAGGCCATCAGTAGACCGTCCCACTGCCACAGCAGAAGCTTAGGAGGAATTACTGCTGGGAGCTGCCAGCATCAGGTTCTGCATCTCCCGGGGACACTAGCCTTGAACTCTGACCTGAGAGACTGGTGGGCATGTTTTTTTATAGCCCTGACTGTCCTGCTAGGGACTGGGAATGGCTCCCTTCCCCTCTTGTCCCTTGGATTTCAGGTGAAGACGTGAAGGTGTCTTAAGAGTAGTAGACGAAGGGCCAGCAGGTGGCAGGGTGGTTAGGCACCTGACTCCCACATGGCCAACTGTGGTTCAAGTCCTGGACCTGGCGGCTTATTTTCTCACTTTCTGGGACCAGCAGATGACATAATGGTTACGTAGTTGGACTCCCAAGTAGTCAGCTGCAGTTCAAGTCCTAGACCCGGTGGCTTAAAACTCATGCCAAGCACCTGTGGGTGTGTGTGGAAAGCGACCATTCTGAACAAACACGGTGACTTTCAGATATATGTAGAAATGCTGTTCGTGAGCTTCATTTGTGTAGCTATGAAAGCATTAAGATACAAATATCTTAATTGCAGATCCTGCAAAGCAGTATCTGTTTAAAGAAGCCACATGTGTTATTCAGATTTCGCCCAAAAGAATCAGAAGAAACCAAATGGTGCCAGTCATTTTCACATCATCAGCCAATTAATATCTGAAAACTAGCTTTGCATTCCATTTCCTCTTCCCCTACTTTCTGCCCTATAAAATAATAAACTGGAGGCTGGTTTGAGGTCACGGTTTTCTCCATCCGAGAAGTCAGGCCCACCTGATCCTCGCTTTTCTATACTGTGTGTCTTTGTGTGTGTGTGTTTTGTTTATTTCTAATCCACAGCCCCCTTTCCCCCCACCCCGAAAAACATAAAACATGTTTGGCTGAGTGGAATGTGGCAGGTGCATGCCCAGAATCCATGGAGGAGAAGGGATTGTGGTGTGGCCATCCCTCCTGGGTGGTGATTTCTTGTTTTCTTCTTCTTTTTTTTTTTTTTTAAGAGTTATTTAATTTTATTTATTCATTTATTTTAATTTGACCAGAGAGAGAGAGAGAGGGAAAGTGAGAAAGCAAGCTACCAGGTCCAGGACTTGAACCATGGTCAGCTATGTGGGAGTGTCCAGCCACCTTAACCACCACACCACCTGCTGGTCCCTATGATTTCTTGTTTTCTATCTCTCTAGCAAATGCATGCACCCTAGAACCAAAAAAAAAAGAGTAGTGGACAGTAGGTCCAGCCTGGTGGTGCAGCATATCGAACTGCAGGGCTAGAAGTCACATGGCTGCCCACAGGTTCTGATGCCCAGTCATCCTGAAAATGGATGCACATGTGTGCACCCAAGATCTTGACAAGCTCAAGAGCTGAGGGAAGGGGTCGTGGTTTGACCAGATCCTGCAGGGAGTGCTGCATGCGTGCTCTCTCTGTCCCTCCCCATCCTTCCATGTGGGCACATGCACTCTTTTTTTTTTTTTAATTTTTTAGGCGCATGCACTCTTTATCATTGATAGAGGAAATAGGAGAAGAGTAGTGGGTCATTGCTGAGGTGTTCATGGTCTCCATCTCTCTTCATTTTCCAAAGTATTTCTTAGGAAATATTCCTTGTATCCCAGTTCTGGGCCAGGCACTGTACAGCGTCTTGGGGTAACAGTGTAGGGGGTGTCAGACAGATGTGGCCTCTGTTCTTGGGGGCTAAGGGGTTGGGGGCAACAAAGCAGCAATAGCAGGGGGAGGTGCCGAGATGGTGTGGAAGGGTGTGAGTAGGGCCTTAGGAGCCCACCTGTGCAGGCTTAGGGCATTACAGAAGGCTCTCTGGGGAAGAGCCATCTAAACTGCCTTCTCTGAACTTGTATCAGGAGGCTACAAATAAGATAGCAAGTGCAGAAAGCTGACAGAAAACTCCCGAGCATGCCTGTGGCTGCAGACCTAGGTGCTGCACGGGTAACTGAGGTGCCCTTGAGGCTCTGGCCCTGGCAATAACCCCCTGGCCCATGGCTCAGGCCAGTGAGCTGCATACCTGTGCTGCTGCACCCAGGCAAGGGATGCCCTTTGTGAGTACCTGCCCAGGGGGACCCAAGCTGGTGTTTACTCCACCTGAGCCTTCTGCCTTCTGGACTTCTGGCAGGCATGCACAGGTCTTTGGAAAATGGCTAAATGGCAGGGTCTCCCCAAGTGACAAGATGGAAAGACCTTGGCTCTGCCACTACCTCAGGTGTGCTCCAAGGTGGGGCACAGCAGAGAGGTGACATAGCCTGTTTGCTCTGAAGCTGTCAGACATGGCACTGGTGCAGCTGCACAGGGAGCGGGGGAGGGCATACATTGTCTGTCTAGGCCACCAGGTGGCTTTGCAGTCCTCTGTGAAAGCCTTTCTGGTGAGAAATCTCTCTCTCTCTCTCTCTCTCTCTCTCTCACACACACACACACACACACACACACACACAGG